GATGGGCTCAGGACACAGATTTGCAGTGTGTGGATGGTGCAGGAGTGTTGTGGCAGAAGACTGGGGATGTGGGGATGCAGGAGTTTGGGGATGTGAGAGGCTCAGGACAGGGGGTTCCAGTGTATGATAAGCTCAGGTTTGGGGTTGGGGTGGTGGTGCAGGAGTGTTATGTTGCTGCAGCCAGATGGGGGTTTAGCCCCAACTGAGGGCATTTTGGCCACGCTTCATTTTTAAATAAAAATATTATGTCAAACACAAAATTTTTCAGCACTGTCTTTATTTATGAGAGGGGCGGGGAACCTGTTTTGAGTCAGGGGTCACTGACCCACAGAAAAGTCAATTGGGACCACACAAGTGAAATGCAAAAAACAACCCCTCCAAAAAACCCCAAACATCACTAATGTGGCCCCAACTGTGCTGGTGAGGGCAGGGGACAAAGTGCTGGAGCAAGGTGCTGGTGGGTGCTGGGGCAGGTGGCAGGGGACAAGGTGCTGGTGTAGGGAGGGGTCTGGCCAGGGGGAGGGGACAGGGACAGATTGGCTGGTTCCTGGGGATCCTGGATCTAAGGAAGCGGGTGGGCTGCTCTTCCCCTCCCCTCTCTTCTCTTCCCCTCCTATAAACAGCTGGCACACTTCCCCTCCCTGGGTCTGTCATTGGGCCAGGAACTTCCTCCCCCCCCGCTGCCTGCCTGTGCACGGAGTGTGTGTGTGTAGGAGTCCCAGGACTGCATGCCAACTCCAACTTCTCAGGAAGCACGTGCTTTTCCTCTGCTCCCCATGACAGCCGCGTGCTTCCTGAGAAGTTGGAGCGGGCGTGCAGTACGGGATTCCTACTCTCCCCCACGCTCTAACCCAATCTCCCTCCCCTTCCTTTTCCGAGAGCCAGGCACACTCCACCCCCTGCTCTAACCCAACCCCTCTCTTCCCCCAACCTAATGCCCGGATCCTGGAACTACCGCTGCTATCACCATGTGCATCTTCCTCCAGGCGCTGGGGCGCATATGCTGAGCGGCCAGCTTTGAGGAGCATGTGCTGGCTGGGACACTATGTGCACCTCTTCCCAACCCAATCGCCCTCCCCTCCCCCAGAGCCAGGCACCCCCTGGCTCTAACCCAATCCTCCTTCCCCTCCCCCGATCCAGGCACCCACTGCTCTATTCTAATCCCCGTCCCTTCCCTCCCCAGAGCCAGGCACCCCACTGCTCTAACCCGTGTCCCAGAGCTGGAGCCACTGCCACCACCACCGCTACCACCATATGCCTCTCCCTCCAAGCATGGGGTGCATAAGTTGAGCAGCCGGCTTTGAGGAGTATGTGCTGGCTGGGATGCCATGCACACCCCCTCCCAAGTCAATCCCCCTCCCCTCCCCCACACCCCCCCACTCTAACCCAATTCCCCCTCCCCCATCGTTCCCCTGGGCTGCAAAGACAAAATGGAGCCAATGGGAGCCATGAGGCTCCGTGGCCACGGTGCTGGTAAATAAACAAACCAGGACAGCCAGTTAATGTGTTTCTGAGAGTGATTCCACGGAACACTTTTCAGAAACACTGTAGTTGACTATTTGTTGTTTTTTAAGATTTTTCTGTTACAGACTAGCTCGGCTACCTCTCTTAAGTGTCTTTACATTTAAATCTTTCCATGGACCCCCTGCAGTACCATCACAGACCACCAGGAGTCTGCTGACCACAGGTTGAGAACCACTGGGGTAGACTGAAGGGATGGAGGAGAGCAGCAAAGCAGGAGATCTCGAGCTTGGTCTATATGCAGTTTTTATCCTGATGTCACTATATCATTGAGAGGGTGTATTAAATTTATTCTGGTAGAACGCCTATCCTGAAATAAAGGTTCCTTATAGCCATGTAGCTGATTGCTTTCCCATACAGGAATAAGCTGTATTACTATCAAACATATTGACACCTGTATGGCTTCTTGGTCGAGTGGAGAGTGAGCTGGGGACTGACAAGGAGAAAGAAGAGGCAGGTCAGACAGGGTTTTAAGGAAGGGTTATAAGCCATCTAGTTTGTATTTATTGGATTAAATGAGAGTGGGGAGCTGGAGCGGCTTGGCTAATACAATGGCAGAACTGCAGGAAGACCGCACAGCACCTGGACTCTCACTGCTGATGCTCAGTGAAGGATCCATCAACACCACTTCTTGGCCTGCGTAGGTGGACACATCCTACTGCTGCTGAGTTTGCCAGACTAGATGGATCTCAGCACAGGGAGTATTTATTATTGAGTAATAAATATTTGCATTGCGGTGACACCTAGATGCTTCAACGAGGTCTTGGCCCAGGTGCTATACAGAAGTCTGACAAACTCTGCTGAAAGCTAGGACAAGGCTGGTGTGTGAAACAACACGGTGATTAGTGCTGGGCTACTTACAGCAGCGTCTGCAGCGTACAGTCTGGCTGTTTCAGTCCCTCACACAGATGTTTCAGTCCTAGGTCTCCCAGTGCATTAGCGCTCAGGTCCAGCTTTTCCAGGGCCTGGTTTGTAAAGAGGGTCTGAGGGGAGAGGTCCTTAGGGAAAGCAGATGAGAGTTTGCAGCTGGACAACCTGAAGGGAAGAAGTGGACAGGTCAAAGTTAGTTCTGCACTGTATGAAATGGCCACTAATCATGAGTGAACCCCCCCTTGCCACTTCCAAAGCCTGATCCTACTCCACCCCTACTGGAGTCAGAGTAGCCCCAAGCTCCCCATTGTTACTTGATTCTCTCCCAGTCTCCTATTGCAGCCAAATCCCCCACACATGCCAGGACCTGAGCCACTGGTCATCCTGGGTCCAGTGTTGCAGGTCACTGGCTTAAGCTGAGCACCAACTGGCTTTGTGGGGAGAGGTGAATTGGGGCGGGGCTTTAGGACAGAGTGTGGGCGGAGCCACAGCCTGGGTTTCCCTGGCCGATTATACCTGCTGCCCACGCTACTGACTGTTCTGTAACTGTTGTTCCTCGAGATGTGTTGCACACGCCCTTCCCACTCTAGAAACATCTGCATGCCCAGCGCACAGCTGTCAGAGATTTTTTTCTCCAACGGGGTGGTGCATGTGTTCCCTGCTGGCATGTGCTGCTGTGTGACTGTTCTGTGAATATAGGCTGGAGCTGCCCTCCTCCCCCGCCCCCCAGGCTCCGACCCTCCTCAGTTCCTTCTAACCAGAAAGACTCAATATAGAGGGAAAAGAGGGTGATATGCAGAATGGATACGTGCAACACATCTCGAAGAGCAACTGGTATGGAACAGGCTAGTAACTGTTTCTTCTTTGAAACAAAGTGGAAACCTGATGCAGGACACACGTGTTGTCACTCAAACAACCACTGCTTGAGGATGGTTTCCAGTCAGGGACATTCATCATTTCATAAAGTTTAAGGCCAGAAGGGACCACCAGATTATCTAGTCTGACTTGTGCATTTCAGGCCACTACACAGCACCAGCTTACACCCATATTAAACCTAAAATTTTAAAAACAGTGAGCAATTCTGTGGCACCTTAGAGACTACCAAATATATTATATCATGAGCGTTCGTGGGTAAAACTTACTTCAGATCATGAAGTTTGTTTTATCCGCAAAAGCTCATGATATAATATATTTGATAATCTCTAATAGCATGTCTACACAGCAGGGCTAAAACCGAAATAAGCTACACAACTCGAGCTATGTCAATTGCGTAGCTTATGTCGAGATAGCTTAATTTGGCTTTTGGCGCTGTCTACACAGAAGGAAGTCGAGATCCCTTTTGTGCAAGAAGTTTTTGCGCAAAAAAGCACCGTGTAGACAGCTCCTTTTTGCACAAAAACCTGAGGAAGAACGGCTCTTGTGCAAAAGGGTTTTTTTACGCAAAAAGGAGCTATTTACACAGTGCTTTATTGCGCAAAAACCTATTGTAAAAAAGGGATCAGAGGAGGAAATGCAAATGAGAGTATGACATATGCAAATGAGTGCTCCATTTGCATTTCCTCTTACAGAAGAGGCTCGTAGTATAGATGTAGCCTAAGATTAGTAATTTCATGAAGCTTGATCCTTAAGATGTTTATTATGATTTGCAGCTCAGAGAGAGATTTCGAAGGGTGTGTCTACACAGCAAAGTTATTTCAAAATAACAGCCATTATTTTGAAATAATTTTACTAGAGTCTACACAGCCAAACCGATATTTCAAAATTAATTCGAAATAGCAGAATGCTTATTTTGAATTTGGTAAACTTCATTCCATGAGGAATAACACCAAATTTGAAATAGCTATTTAAAAATAAGTGCTCTGTAGACACTTATATTGAAATAGGGGGCCTCCAGCCTTCCCAGGGTACCCTGGTGGCCACTCCAGCCTCAACCAAGAACACTTCTCTCCCCCCGCCCACTCCTGAGCCCTTAAAGGGGTTGACTTTGGCCAATGCTCATTTTGAATTTGGTAAACATCATTCCACAAGGAATAACGCCAAATTAGAAATAGCTATTTTGAAATAAGTGCTGTGTAGACACTTATATCGAAATAGGGGGCCTCCTGCCTTCCCAGGGTGCCCTGGTGGCCACTCCAGCCTCAACCAAGGACACTCCTCTCCCTCCCCCATCACCGGAGCCCTTAAAGGGGTTGACTCTGACCACAGTGCCTGTGCCAGCTCCAAGCCTGCCATCCCAGAGCCAGCAGTCACTGCCCCTGACCCAGTGGCCCCAAAACATGCCGGCAGGCGGGGCCCAGCCAGCCGTCCCCCGCCCAGTCCTCCAGCACCCAGGAGCCACCCAGGGGTCGTAGACGCCGCACTCCCTCCTGGACTAGTGAGGTCTTACTCAGGTTTGGGGTGGATGACCCCAATGTCCATGATCTCCGCACTAGATGGAGGAACGTGGCCGTCTATGACAGGATAGCTGCCAGCCTGGCCACCAAAGTCCACATGCGAACCCTGAAGCAGGTTTGCTTGAAAATCAAGTTGGTCCAGCAAGACCCCCAACCCTGAGCTTCCCTTCCCCCTTCTTCCCCTTGCTTCCTCCTTCCAGCTCCCTCCTCTCAGGTTTCCCCCTCATCTTTCCCACCCTCTCTCTTCCCCTCTCCCACCTCCTTTCCCCAGTCTCACCAGAGGTTCATCCCTCTCCCCCCAGTTTTGTTAAATAAAGAGAGTTTTTGATCATGAAAATACATGTATTTTATTTGACATCAGGAAGGGGGGTTAGGGAGGGGTACGTGGAAGGACGTGAGGGAGAAATGAGGCACAAGCCCCCAGTGGGGCAGGCCAAGGAGGTTCTTAGTGTTCCTCAGGGTGGAAGCTCTCCTGCAGGGCCTCCTGTATACTGACAGTCCCCCGATGGACCTCCCAGATGGTAGCCTGCAGAAAGTGCAGCCAGGCTCACAGCAACACGTCCACGAGAAGCACCAGAGTGCACAGGGGCAGCTCTGGCTCCATGTTGCAGAGTGCTGTGGTGTCTGGAGTGAGGCAACTAGAGCATGCAGAGACTAAATGCTTTGCTGTCCCTCATCGAGGTAGGCAAGCAAGCAGGGAAACCTGAGAACTGGCTGTCTGGGGTTGGGGGGAGAGGGTGTCCCTTTAAGCACAGGCCTCAGATAGCCTCAGGTAGCAGCCACATAAAATAACTCCTGATCTGATGCCCTGCTGGACCTGGTTCCAGCTGGCCTTAAATGTGATTCAGCGTCCACTCAGTGTGGATGCGCTATTTCGGAATAGCAAAAAGCTATTTCAAAATGCATTTTGTGTGTAGACGCATTATTTCGAAATATTCTGTTTGGGTAATACCAGGCAATGGGTAGACATGCATAACACAAGAACAAGAAGACTGTCCAAGAAGGACTTGCTTACGATACTGTCTTCAGTTTACAGTTGGGATCCTTCAGTCCTTGCAACAATGAGTATGCAGTTGACATTCTCGGATCTTTCATCAATGGGTTCCTAGGAAAAAATGCAAACTTTAAATATCATTTCCACCAGGCAGATTTTCCATTCTCTTTCCTGAAGATGGTGGTGTAGGTTTTAATCCACCTCAGACATTTGTTATAAACAATGAGAAGCATCTAAAGATGCCACAGTCCGTTGTTCTGATGTCACGTTAGACATTCATTTCTAACAGCAGTGTAACCCACACTAACCCCATGAAGCATTTGTCCTTCTTCTAGGGGCTGGGCCATGGGTGAAATGCTGATTTCAGTGAAAATCCTGCTTTGCCTTTTCAGTTTGGTGTGGGAGAAGGAACATATTCCAGAAAAATGGAAGAGACGGTTCTGAATCAAGCTCTCTTAAAAAGAGGATTTAAAAGATTCCAACCATTGGTGCAAGATTACACTGCTTTCACTCTCAAGGAAAGTTTTCTGAGAGAACATTAGAATGAATAAAAAGTGTGAATTGGAAGTGGATTAGTTGAAGCACATTAAATCCCTGTGTAGATGTTATTATTCATAATTAAAATGGACTTTGAAATGAATAAACGTAACCTAATTAAAGCCAATTTAATTCTGCATAATGGTGTCCATGCAGGGATTTAATATAGTTTAACGATTCCTGTTCAAATTTATGCCTTTAGGCAAAAGGAGACTATCTTAGAAATGCCCCTTTTTCATTATCCCATAACTGAGCTGAGGGAAGGGGGTGACAGGAAACATCCGGCAATTGGGTGCTTCTCACATTACCATCCAGAAGAGAAGAAACTGATGATGGTGCCCAGCAGAGTCCATATACAGACAGAGCTCTCTCCTCTCTGGCAGGAACAATGCAGTAGTATTGCTTCTATCGGCAGCAAGGTGGTGCTGCATTGTAAGATGGTGACTACTGTCTGGGTAACCCTTGTGATATGGCCTGTAACTGCATGGCTTGGACTGCAGCCTTAGGAAGCTGCAAAGGCTGATGGAGAGGGAATAAGAGGCGGTTGCTGGAGGGCTTCAGGCAGCTGGCTGAGCCCCAGAGCAGATTCCAGGAGCAGCAGGAACTGAACTACAATCAGCTTCTATTTGAGAGTCCTCTGAATTGTTTGTTGCTAAACCTGCTGCGAGGGACTGGAGTGAGGCTGGTTGGGCCTCACAGTCACAGCTGGTCTGAGATCTGCTCACTAGAGACAGTAGTTGCCAGGCAGGCGCTGCAGGAATCACAAGAGCCCAGTTCCCTAGATCAGGGTCAGGCTGGAGTCAGAGATCAGGAAACCAAGCAAAGTCTGGCACTGCAGCAGGCCAGAGTCTGTATGGCTCCCCAGACAACTTCCTAAGGCAACCTAAGGGTTAAAATAGGACGCTTGACTTGGCCAATCAGAGCACGTTTACATAGCAGTGTTATGTCAGAATAATTTACATTATTCCAAAATAACATAGTGCGTGTCTCCACTATAAGCTGTTATTTTGACATATGTCAAAATAATGTCAATCTGGAGAACTTCTTACTCTGATTCCTGTAACCCTTATTTTACGAGTAAGAAAAGTCAAAGCTGTGTAGACAGATCCAAAAACCGAATAAAACTATTTCAACTTAAGCTACACTATTGGGCTGTGTCTACACTGGCCGCGAGTTCTTGCACAAGAACACTGATGTTCTAATGTATGAAATCAGGGCTTCTTGCGCAAGAACTATGATGCTCCCACTCAGGAATAAACCCTCTTGCTCAACTGTTCTTGCGCAAGAGGCCAGTGCAGACAGGCAACATGAAATTCTTGCACAAGAAAGCCCGATGGCTATAATGGCCATCAGAACTTTCTTGCGCAAGAGAGCGTCTACACTGGCATGGATGCTTTTGCGCAAAAGCACATCTCTTTTGGAAGAGTTTTTGCACATGAACTCTTCCGCAAAAGAGTTCTTGCACAAAATCATGCCGGTGTAGACGTAGCCTTGATGTAACTGAAGTTGCATAGCTTATATCAGCTTTAGCCCTCCTGTGTAGACATGCCCTCAGAAGGCTACAGAGTACCTCACTCTGGGTCTCCTGGGCAGTACTTTCTGCAGCGCCTACTTTCCACAGTGTTATCTGACCGTGCCTCTGCATAGCCTTCTGTGGTGCTCTGGAAATATCAGCTGTCCCAGGCTCTGCAGATTCAGGTTTGTGTCCTTACACCTTTTCCTTTTGCTGTTTAGCTGCTCATGGCACTGGGCAGTTCTATCACATTTGCTTCTGTGAGTAGACAGTAGGACAGAACAGGTCACTAACACAGAGTTCTCTGGATCTCTAGGCAAACTGGTCCCCACACACAATATTCCTTTTGATAGGGTCAGATGCAAGGACAAAGAATATGGACCATACTTACAATATGGGGCTGTATTTTGGTAGGCAGTGACTCTGAAAAGGACTTGGAGTTGCTCATGATTTCCCAGGGTAATTCTGTGGCTGAAATGACTAATGGGACCCTTGGATATATAACAGGAGCATAGTGAGTAGGAACAGGGAGGTGTCTCCTATATAGTGAAACTCATCCCGTTCTGGTGTCCTGCTCTTTCAATGTTGATTGGTACTTAGCTAGGCAATAACTTCCAGTCCATAGCAGTTCACTTCCTTATCCTTCTATGTGACCCAAGCTAGGTTCCTAGGAAGCTAACTGGCCGTAGCTGTTCCTTCTGATTAACCCTGCTTTCCTGTTCTCGCCTACCTTGGAATCATGAGGTTTTCTGACCCAACTGCCTTGACCTCACCAGGCTCATATGATTAGCATAAACCCATCTTACTGGCAAAGACCCAAAAAAATCTACAAATAGTTTATTATAACTCTCTGAAAAGGGGGCATTACAATGGTGACATGATGAGATGCCACTTTAAGGATTTACTGGTTTATAATAAAGATGTACCCTGCATTGCTCGGTTCTTAACTCAATTAATGTTTGTTTTTCTTCATTTGAATCATTGCTCTGGGGTGGGTCTAGGTCTGAGGGGTTCAGTAGGCAGGCTGTCCCAAGGAGAGAGGACTACCCCAGCCCTCTTTCACTACAGCAGCATCAGGTCAGATGAGAGTGCCCATCCATGGCTGCTGCAGCTCCAGCGGGCACAGTTGGGGGAGGGGTTTATGTCTCCTAGCTGGGACAGGTCCAGGTTCATCTGCTTCTTGCACACACCCTTCCCCCACAGCCAGAGCAAGGAATGCAGCAAACTGTGCACTTTCCCCTTGCTCCCTGATGATCGGAAACAGCCAGAAATATTCCCATACCAATCAGGGAGGGAGCTTCAGGGCCTCCCCCTACTCTCCCTAAAGGGCACTTGGGGAGTTGGAGGCTCAGGGCTGGGGCAGTCTTGGATGCTGAGGGGCATGCCCCCAGCCAGTCCCTTTCACCAGTCTGGTGATCCCATCTCTTTTCTATATGGTTTAATGAGAAGCAATCCCATTCCAGGCACATCCCATTTTCCTGGGGGCCAGGTGAGAAACACCTCACCATGGCTGCTGCAGCTCCAGCGGGCACAGTTGGGGGAGGGGTTTATGTCTCCTAGCTGGGACAGGTCCAGGTTCATCTGCTTCTTGCACACACCCTTCCCCCACAGCCAGAGCAAGGAATGCAGCAAACTGTGCACTTTCCCCTTGCTCCCTGATGATCGGAAACAGCCAGAAATATTCCCATACCAATCAGGGAGGGAGCTTCAGAGCCTCCCCCTACTCTCCCTAAAGGGCACTTGGGGAGTTGGAGGCTCAGGGCTGGGGCAGTCTTGGATGCTGAGGGGCATGCCCCCAGCCAGTCCCTTTCACCAGTCTGGTGATCCCATCTCTTTTCTATATGGTTTAATGAGAAGCAATCCCATTCCAGGCACATCCCATTTTCCTGGCACAACCAAACCCATACCTTGCTTTAAGTAATGATAAGAGGAAGCTGCCTACCAAATTTGGTGTCCCTAGCTCTTACTGTTTAGGAGGAGTTCTTGAGCAAACAGACAGATGCACAGACAGACAGACTCATGCACAGACACAGTCAGACAAATATAGACTAGATAAACTACAATACTTACAGAGGAAATAAGCGTTTTCGTAGCTTTGCTTTCCATCCTTCTTCTCGTTCTCCAATCCCAAGCGTACAATTACATAGGTAGAGTGACTGTTTACTACAACAGTTCTTTACACAGAATGAAAGAGCAATTTCATCTATTGTTGTGAGCCTGAGGTGTTCTAGCCTAATTTCTTGGAAATTATCCATTGCACTTTTCGCAAACTCTTCCTCCTGCTTCTCATACAAACAGTGAAACAACTCAAGCTGGTCACGCTGTTCCTCATAGGGCTTATAGGAGAGAGAGGAGATTTTTTTAGCTTCTTCTTTAAACCACTTCAATAAATCTCGCTCTATTCCAGATGATGTTTTACAATGTATCTTTTTCTCTATGTCATTCAATCTCTCTTTATTTAGGAGACCAAACAAGAAACGTACTGTTAGCATCAAATAATTATTTTTTGATGTTCCGTAAATCTTTAGCAAATGATTCACATCTTTCTTATAAATCAATGATTTTTTCTTTGTCTCTTCATCTTCCTCTAGCACATAGTACATTGCTGCAAAAAACTCTTGGAAACTCAAGTGAATGAAGCTGTAGAAAATTTCACATTCTGTATCTTTTTTAAAAATGCTTGTATTCAGAAAGAGAGAGTGAATGTTAGACACGGATAAATTGTGTTTCTTCAGGTCTTCTTCTTCAAACAGTATTTTCTGTTCTAAAATTCCATCTGCAGCCAATGAGCAAAGCGCCCAGAGGTTAGTTTTAGATTGTTCTATTGTGTCAGTGATATGATCTGTTATCAGGGTGGAGAGAAAGAGCAAATATACTGATGTGGTTGTTTTTGAAGTTTGTGTCAGATCTTCCTTTTTTTCCATTTGTTGTTTCAGAACTGTGCAGATGATCCAACACACAATGGGGACAAAGCACATGGTGAAGAGCATTTCATTTTCTTTGACAAAATTAAAGGCTTCTGTTGCTTTCTTTTCATCACAAAAAAATTTATGAAAATATTCTTTCCTCTCATCTGCAGAAAATCCCATTATCTCTGCAAAACGTGGAAGTTTCAGATTCTCCTTTAGTTTTTCCAGAGCTGTTGGTCTCGTAGTGATCAGCAAAAAAGATTTTTGAAGAACCTTCTTTCTCAATAAACTGCACAGGGTGGTATCCACTGTCCTCTTCTCAAATGGGTCAGTGCACAGGCTAACGTCATCAATATCTAGCAAGGAATTTAATTCATCAAAACCATCTATTATAAACAGGAGTTTTTCTGGCTTCTCAAAGATTTCTTTAATTGGTCCTCCTCCATCAGGACAATTGTTCAAAACCAAATCGGCAGCACTTCGATTTTTGGCACCACTTTGATTTTTAATAATATGTTTTATTTCTCTGCAATTTATATAAAAAACATTTTTATATTAGGAAAATTTTCTAAAACCAAAAGAGCAACACTTTGTTCTGTGGTAATACAATTTATTTTTCTACAATTTATGTAGAAAACATAATCAAACTTTTTCCGATAGAGTTTTCCAGATGCCCAGTCCAACATGATCTTTCTCGCTGTCATTGTTTTCCCAATCCCAGCAGCTCCCTGCAGCACAACAGTTCTTGGGCTTTTTCGATTTCTATCTGGATTAAATAAAACACTAATCTGAGTGAGACTGGTTTGTTGAGCCATCAGTTCTGCGTGTCTCCTTCCTCTGGTGATGATTTCATGCTCTTTCTCTTCCTGCCCCCGATGTTCCTTTACAATAAGCAGTTCTGTGTATCTTTTGTCTAGACTCACACTTTCACCCATGAGAGCAGCCTTTTCTTTTATTAATTCGTATTCTTCTTGTACATGCTCTCTATACTTCTTCTGGTAATCTAATTCAATGACAGTAACATGAAGCATTAAATATACTGTGAACATTTGTTCAAATAAAGGTCATGGGAACTGCCACTCATTGGTTATATCCAGAAGTTGGACAGGACAAATTTTGCTGACAATCTACTCTCTCTTCTCACCCTCTTTCACCGAGCAATCCTAGCAATATGACATGACATTCTGCACTTTCGGGGCCCTACTCTGCTGAGTAATCACCATCCATCAGCCAGGCCCGGGGCTCCACTCCCTGTGTCCTGCATTGGGCCCCAAACTCCCTTTTTCCGGGCCTGTTTAATTATATTGCCCTTGATTTTCCTGGGAGTTCATAGTATTAAGAATGAAATGTTTGTCTATTATTGTGCAAAATGGTCTGTTCTTCTTTATGGCTAATATATACCCTGGGAACTGTTATGATCTTCAAAGTATGGGCTTTTAAACAATGCGCTAGACAAAGCTGAGAAGGATTTCTAGGAAATACTTGTGTGACAAAGCTCCTTCTGAACTTGAATGGGTCCAGTTCTTTTCGGCAGATTGCTTGCCTTGGAGGCTCTCACAGTAGCCTTCAATTTAGACACCAGCTTGCTGTTTGTTGAGCTACTCTCTTCATTGGCCAGTATAGAGAAAAACTTCATAAACTCTGTGGCCCCTTCAAGAGGTACAGGGAAGAACAAACCCAGTATCTTTCTAGTATTGAAATGGAAATGGGGAGTTGTTGTGGGGGTGGGGGAGGGGAACCTGCCCTCTACTCCCGTTTCCAGCCCAGGGACCCTGTGATAGCTGCTGTTTATAATGTTTCTGGTAACAGCTGCATGACAGTTACAAATCCCTGAGCCACTTCCCCACAGCCTTCCCTAGCACCTTTCTTAGCACAGGCTCTTCCCTGACTGTGCTTGTTCCTTCCAGATTCTCCACTCTTTCTTCTCCAACAACTCCTTACCAGACTGAGCTACCAGAAAAAGGAGCCCTTTTAACCAGTCTCAACTGGTTCTTCATTGGCCCCAATTAGTCTACCTCATTTTACTGTGGAAACATCTTAATTGGCTTCAGGTGACTTAATTGCCCTGACTAGTTCTGGAAAGTTCCTGTTGGTTCTGGATTTTCCTGTGTTCATTTACTTTGGAAACAGAGACTTAATCTAGGGCTAATATACCTCCCTTCCATCACTCTCCTGTACCCCTCTGGCCTGACCCTGACACACTTGGGAGACAGCAGTGCAAATTACTCACCTCTGGACTTCTCAATTTTGAAACTACACCCAACTTATTGTCTAATAATTACTCATTCAGTCATTTAAAAAACCCAAACTAGATAAAAGAGCGACCCACAGATATACATGTGTGCTTGGCCCAAGCCAAAGCAGCTATTAATTGGTAACCACAGAAAAAACTGTTGGTGAGATTTGAAGGGCTGATCCAACTACTTTTGGAGTTAGGTTGAGAACTCATAATGCTTATAAAAAGTTTGTGGATTACACCAAACTGAGAGGGGTTGCAAACACTTTGGAGGACAGGTTTAAAGTTCCAACAGGCTAAGGACTGTAATAATGACAGCACTGAACGATTGTTCTCCATGTCTCCTACAGGTAGGACAAGAAATAATGGACTTAATCCACAGCCACAGAGATCTAGATGTTAGGAAAAACATTTCTAACTATTAGGGGAGTGAAACTCTGAAGTAGGCTTCCAAGTGAGGCTGGGAAATCGCTATCACTGGAGGATTTTAAGAACAGGTTTGTAGGGATATTTAAAAATTAATAGGGGACTGAGATGACTAAATATTAGTGGAAAAGGGGTCTAGCCAGAATAGGAATTGTCCTTTAAACATGTTTTTTTTCCCTTTGTTTCTGCAGTCTGGAAAGATAGATTGCAGTCTAGCTGAAGTAGTTATTATCCTTTCTGATGTATAAATATGCTCTTTCTCTTTGTTATTGCTGCTTATAAAGATAAATAAGCAGCAACTGCTCTTCTTTGTTGTATCTCTTACTTACTATCACTTGCCCTGTAAAAATATTTGCAGAGTTACTTTTCTTGTAATCTCTGTAACCTGCTGATCCAGAGAGTGTGTAGTGTAGAAAAGTGATTTAATTAGGAATTCTGTAAACCATAACTAGGGCAAGTATAATAATATTAATCACCTGCCTGCTAATATTCATTTTATGGCAGATAACATACAAAATAAGGTTTCAGGGAAAGTAGTGATAGATATGTGAATTAGCATAAAATGAATAAAAGGGTGTAACCGGTACCAAATTCTTGCCAGTCAGAACATTGTGTTGGATGTCAGAGGTAAAAGTGCATGGGTAATAAAGCACTTCATTTACCCCATCTGCTCCTGGGCCACCTGTTTCTTCTCTAACAAGGTTGAACAAACACCTGTCACAGATGATTCAGGTTGATTTAGTCCTGCCTCAGCTCAGATGGCTGGACCTGAGGACTTCCCAAGGTCCCTCCGAGACCTGTGTTTCTCTGCTGCTAACAGCATGGTTGTGTCTAGACTGGCATGATTTTCCGGAAATGCTTTTAACGGAAAAGTTTTCCGTTAAAAGCATTTTTGGAACAGAGCACCTAGATTGGCATTGACACTTTTCCGCAAAACCACTTTTTGTGGAAAAGCATCCGTGCCAATCTAGACGCGCTTTTCCGCAAAAACGCCCTGATTGCCATTTTCGCGATCGGGGCTTTTTTGCAGAAAACAAATCTGAGCTGTCTACACTGGCCTTTTTGCGCAAAAGTTTTGCCCAAATGGGAGCAGCATAGTATTTCCTCAAGAACACTGACAATCTTACATGAGATCGTCAGTGATTTTGTGGAAATTCAAGCGGCCAGTGTAGACAGCTGGCAAGTTTTTCCGGAAAAGCGGCTGATTTTCCGGGAAAAACTGGCCAGTCTAGATACAGCCCATGTGTATAAGCCCTTTTATTAATTTCAATACGCTTTCTCTTTTACCATAAGAATAAACATGCTTGCTTAGAAAGAGCTGTGAGGTAACTTAACTGTGGGCAATTATACTATCTACTATCTGTGAAGAGAAACGTGAAGCAGGCCATCTTAGGCCGTGTGCATTTGCCAGGGAATTCACATTATAGTCAGGGAAATATTCAGCCCAGAAAACACTCTTTTTAGGAGGGAGAGAGATATGCATATCTCTGACCAAAAGCATGGGTCCTCTTGCTGACTAAGAAGGGGGAACACAGATTCAATCAAATTGCCCCAAATTGCTGCAGCTTCCTATCAGTTAAACAAGTGGAGTTTCATAGGGGTCTGTTTTGGGGCTGGTGCTATTCAATCTCTTCATCAGTGATTTAGATGATGTCATAGAGTTTATTAAGTTTCCAGATGATACCAAGTTGGGAGGGGTTGCAAGTGTTTTGGAGGACAGGGTCATAATTAAAAATGATCTAGACAAACTAGAGGACTGATCTGAGGTAAATAGGATGAAGTTAAATAAGGACAAATGCAAAATACTCCATTTAGGAAGGAACAATTAGTTTCACACCTACAGAATGAGAAGTGATTATCTAGGAAGGAATACCACAGACAGAGATCTAGGGGTCATAGTGGACCACAAGCTAAATAGGAGTCAACAATGTGACACACTGTTGCAAAAAAAAAAAAAAGCAAACATGATTCTGGGATGCATAAATAGGAGTGTTGTGAGCAAGACACGAGAAGTCATTCTTCTCCTCTGCTCTGCGCTGATTAGGCCTCAGTTGGAGTATTGTGTCCAGTTCTGGGCACCACATTTCAAGAAAGTTGTAAAAAAATTGGAGAAAGTCTAGAGAAGAGCAACAAAAATGATTAAAGGTCTAGAAAACATGAGCTATGAGGGAAGACTGAAAGAATCGGGCTTGTATAGTTTAGAAAAGAGAGGACTGAAGGGGGACATGATAGCAGTTTTTAAGTATCTAAAAGGCTATTACAAGGAGGATGGAGAAAAGTTGTTCTCATTGGCTTCTGATGACAGGACAAGAACCAATAGGCTTAAGTTGTATCAAGGGAGGTTTAGGTTGGACATTAGGAAAAACTTCCTAACTGTCAGGGTGGTTAAACACTGGAATAAATTGTCCAGGGAGGTTGTGAAATCTCCATCACTGGAGCTATGTAGGAACAGCTTGTATAGACATCTATGAGGGATATCTAGATGGTGCTTGGTCCTGCTGTGAGGGCAGGGGACTGGACCTGATGATCTCTCGAGGTTCCTTCCAGTTCTAGTACTCTATGATTCTATGTAACATCTTCCTCCATATTATGCATTAACCTGTTGTCAAGTAGCTGCTCCATTCTCCATTCTCCCATTCATGGTCAGCGATCCCATACACAAGACAGACAGAAGCTTTCCCCAGTCTGGCAAACTCTTGAAAAAGCAAAGCTTGTGTGGAAAGCATTTATAGAATGGGGCTGGGAGTAGGTAGTGATACGGCTGTCGTCTGTATTCTGAGAAGTAGATGGGGAGCCCTGTATTAATGGTGTGAAATAGGAAGGATTAAAGAGTTTGTTCACTTTTAACTTCAGGTGACACAAAGATAGCTCCAGGAAA